GAGCATTACCAACAGGTCTTTCTATGGATGATGGCTTGCGATAGACTTCTGACTAATAAGGAGTGCATGAGAAGGCATATCAGTAGTTTTTCGAGTTGTGGTGTTTGCGCTTCCGACGCGGAATCTGTTGATAAGTTGTTTCGGACTTGCCCGACTGCTTTGGAGGTGTGGAAGCGTCTTGTCCGCCCAAGTAAGTTTTCGAAATTTTTAGCGATGAATGTTAGAGACTGGTTGGTTATGAACCTTGCAAATCCAAGCCTTTTTGTGATCAATGATACGGACTGGGATTTGTTATTTGGAGCAATTCTGTGGAACCTTGGAAATACAGAAATTTATGTGTTTTCGATAACTCCAGATTGGGAGTTTATTCCATTTTTGAACAAAGCAAAAGCAAGCAAGCTGAAGGTATTAGATTCCTTGCAGCATGTGTGCATCGTAATAATTTGGTACATCCAGGGAATATGGGTGCAATTGCGTTGGAACGGCCACCAGATGATTTCTTGAATCTTAAAACCGATGGGGCTCGAGATGTGTCGGGTTATGCCTCTTGTGTGTGTGTGTGGGGGGGGGGGGTGTTGCGTAATAGCAGGGGAGAATGGATATTCGGCTTTGCTCGAGCTGTGGGTATAAGCTTGGTCTTAGAGGCAGAGCTTTGGGGAGTTCTTGAAGGTTTGAGGAATGCTTGGAATTTTGAGGCTAGACGAATTATTATTGAAGTTGATAATGGTGAGGTATACAGAATGTTGCAGCAGATGAAGGGGGAGGAGCTTCTCTCACCATTTCACGACATATAGAGGAGTTATTGGAAGGAATTGGAGAGTTTGTTTTTCATAGGTGCGGCGAACAGCGAATCGACTTGCTGAACAGGTGACTAAGTTGGTTCAACCGGATGACTTTGAAAGAATGAGGTTTCATTCTGCTCCGTTGGTTAGGACTGTAAATGAACTGAACGTTCAGCGAACCGTTCATGAACCGTGCGGCGGGAAGTTCGTTTATGTGCGTTTATTTATTAAATGAACGAACATGAACAAGATTTTGTGTTCGTTTAATTAAATGAACGAACATGAACATAGGTCTCGTTCGTTCATTTACGTTTGTGAACGTTCGGTTATGTTCGTTCGGTTATTTTCATTTATGTTCGTTCGATTATGTTCGTTTATGTTCTTTCATTTATGTTTAACCCAATCTTCTTAAATCAATTTTGGTGACCAATTTGTAAGTATCTTAAAAATATTAATTAATCTGATATTCTGATAACCAACTCTATAATTAACCCAATTTATTTGGAAACGATAGCTGAAAGCTTCAAAACAATTTATATTATAATACAATCTGAAGTTTTACAGGTTTGTTTTCATCTCTTTCTCTGTTTTATTTGGCTTAATAGTTGATATGTAAAGTTATTGCGGGTATCATTACATCTAAAACTCAAGAAAACATCATACTTCTTTCTAGAAATAGATGGGAAGATAAATGTAACAATCAGAAGTATATGAGCATCAATAAAGAGAAAAATATATAGAATTTGTCAGAAAACAAAACAAAGGTTTCTATGCAATTTCTGAAAAAGAGTGTAATAGCGGAAGTAATGAGTTTTACAGGAAGAACCCATTAATAAGTAGTAAAAACACTTTGACAATGAACTTTTGTTTTCATAGTTCTTGTGTGACCTTTAGTTGTGGAGTACACTTTAGGTACGTTAAAATTTTGAATGGTGGTTTAACAATAATATCAGTTACGATTTGTAGCATCGAAGGGATTTCGGATCTACGTTATTGTCTTGTAGCCCAATTTGTACCGTTCGAAATCTTCATGCTGTTAAATTTTTTACTCTGCCAACGTAAATGACCATTATTAACAAACCTCACTAAATTCTGATATTAATGTCATAAAACTTTTAACCGGCAAATTTATTAGAATAACGTAGTGTAAAATGATTGTTCATATGTAATCATGGACCACTAAGATAAATGTTATAGCGTTAAATTAAATTCGTGTGAATCATTTAATATTTTTAAAAGATCGATCGAAATATTTGATATCTTCAAACATTTCATCACTGCTAATCAGTTCTTACGCTATTTATCACTGTAGATTTGGTTGATTTGCATTGTCGACTATTTTTCATGAAAGAACAATGGAAGGTAGAGTCTCCAACGTTGATGTTCGTGTTCATTTATGTTCATGTTCGTTTATGTTCGTTTATTTATTAAATGAACGAACATGAACAAGTTATATTCCTTAATAAACGAACATGAACAAAAAAATTTTTGTTCGTTTATGTTCGTGTTCGTTTATGTTCGTTTATTTATTAAATGACGAACATAAATATACCTTCGTTCATGTACGTTCGGTTCATTTACATGCTGTACAAGGAATTTTAGCTACACATTGCTTCGATTAATAGGCTGCCTTAAAGCCTCTTTGTTTACCAAAAAAGAACTAATCTTACTTCTATAAAACAATATTATATAATATACAAACAAAACTTGAACTCAACAAACAGGGGCAGAGTCACAACTTGGTGAGCGAAGACACGTGTTTAACTTAAAATTTAAATTTTTTTCGATTAATTACTTATTTTATTGATGGTACACACCCTAAAATATGATTTTTTATTAGTTATTTATTTTACAGACGATGCTCATCCTAAAATTTTATTTGTACTCATATTATTTAAAAGTTTTATGTTGTTAACATATGTGTGTTCACTCTGAAAAATATTTTTGGATCCGCCATTGTCGAAACATCAACCTTACTGTTAATCAAACCAAAATGATGTTGATAGTGGTTAGGGTTGTAAACGAGCCGAGTCGAGTTCGAGTATTATTGAACTCGACTCGAAAACTCTAAAATGAAACTCGATTCAACTAAAAAATTCGCGAGCCTAAAATTTTCATGCTCGAATCGAACTCGAAACCATGGACTGAAGCTCGAAAAAGCTCAAAATGAAAAAAAAACTTACTTAAATCAACCCTAAACCCTAAAACTCGAACTCGAACCATAAATATATAAATACATAAAAATCTTAAACTGTATTTTTATAAAAAAAATCCAACACATAAATATTAATATTATTAATATTTAAAAAAATAAAATTTTAATATATTATATTTTCGAGCCGTTCTCGAGTTTTTCGAGTCGAATATCAAGTAACTCGCTTCCACTTGTTAAGAACTCGAGTTGAGCTCGAGTTAAGCCTATTCGAGTCGAGTATTTATTGAATTTTAATCGAATCAATCTCGAATCAGAATATTTCTCATCTCATTTATAGTCGTGTTTGTGTTTGGAGGGAGTTGGCTGGTTTCTTTTAAGTTGAGACAAACTTTTTCAGTTCCTTTGAAATTCAAAGTGAGATTAGGTTCAGTATTATTTATTGAACCAGATTTTCAGGGACTTTGTTTCTCTTCCACTCGTGCCCACGACCCATTTGCCGCACCTGCTGCCATTTCTTTAATCATTTTGCGATAGAGTTCGGTTCATCTTTTCAAATCAGTCGTAACACCTTTTTTTGTCAGAACTATTACCTGATCAAAGATTTTTTTTTTAAACCGGTTTAATGATTTCTATAAAACTAATAACAGAGAACTTTTTTAAAATATTACGCGTTAATTAAAATATAATATTTATTCAAAAAAAAAATTAATCTTTTAATAATTGACGTTAATATATCTATATAGATATTGTATTCGAATCTTAAATCTTATGAGATAACAACTATTATTTTAATTACTGAAGTCACTTAATTTGTGTTAATAACGAATTTAAGCATAATTCTACTGATACTTCGAGTTAAAATAAATTTACATATTAAGTTAAAAAACAAATACTCCATATGTTAGGAAACAAAATATACTTTTGAGTTTAATTAAAAGAAGCGTAAATTTACAAATCAATTTTACTCTTATTCTTATTTTAATTATTATAACTTAAAAACTTAATTTAATCACTACAATTTTAGATTATTTTTACTGTTATATCATAAAACGTATGATGACGTAATTATTTTATTAATATTTGTGTTAAGTAAGAATTAAAATTCTCATACCCTAATCCAACCCCCACAACTCACTGTCCTCACCATCACCATCACCATCACCATCACCATCCCAAACCCTAAACCTTTATTTACCATTTCAAACCCTCTTCACTGTTCCAGAACTTTGTTAAATTATATTGCAATATTCTTCAATTATTTTAGTTGCAGTTTTCACAATAGAAGAGACATCATTATCTAATAATATCAAGGTATTCTGTATCTGAAAAGGAAAAGCCGAATAGAAAATCAAATAACATCAATACAATGTATGCAATAAAATTTTAAACTACTATGCATATATTAGATATTTTATTTATATTTTCAATTGTTAATATGTTTCGTCCCATCCTCAAATTTCAGAAATTCACATCCCATAACATAAAATTACGCGTATGTCCCTAATAACAATGTTTACCCTATTTTGTTTTTAATAGTATGTGATGATTATTCGCTAGTACTTGTTTAAAATATTTCTTAATCATTGATAACAAACACTTTACAAGTACAACTACTCGAACCCAAAATCACGGTAAAATAACATTTTAAAATAAATTTGTGAACACTATTGCGGCAAACAAATATCAAGGAACACTTTCTCAACATGCCGAAGAATATTTGTTGGCTAAATATGATAAAATAAACTTACTTACTACTTAAATATTTAAGGTCATGGCACGAAAAATTTTTTTTAAGTGATTAAAGGGATGATTGTTATCTCTAGAAATTTTAGATTCGAACACATCGTATGTCAGAGGTGCTTAAACATTTATTGTCAAATGATGGTGATTATCAATGGCTGAAGCAACAAGTAGAGCGATTATTGAAATTTGGATAGATTCAAAAAGGAAGAAAGAAAAAAAAATACTTTTTATAGGAATTTAAAACGACGTTACTTTGGTGTGTCAACACATCGTTTATTATTCAATGCTCTAGTGACTAAAAATGACATACGGTGCCTCCAACGTCCCCTCACAGACCGAAGCTCCTTTAGCCCATGGCATACTTCTGGGTCCGGCTCCTTGCAGTTGTCTCGTACTTGTTCCTGTCTGTCTTGTACATGTGTGCAATCTCCGGCACCAATGGATCATCCGGATTCGGGTCCGTCAGCAAGGAACATATCGATAGCAATACCCAAGTGAACAAACCGCAAGATCCCAAAAGGCATAGCTATAGAATTTAGGTAATTGGAGATGGACATAAGTATCAAGGCTTGGCTAGTTCAGATTGTGGATTCATTCGTGCCACAACATTGAAGATCCAAATGAATGATAAGAGTTGCAAACAAGAATATCAGAGGAAATGTCACCTTGGAAATCGTTAGTGCTGGACTCCACTGCTCTTTCAAGATGTCTAGGCAAATGCTTCCATTGCTGTTAATATTGGGGTGGAATACCTTTGTTCTAAATGCTACCTGCAAAACCCATTTATCATATGGAAATAAGGCTTTGACTATCTTCATTGCAGCGTCTCTGTCACTCTTCAAGGGTATATATTATGGACTAGCTCCATATGCGGTGGATCACGAAACAAGAACCCAAAATGAACAGGGAAGCTTTGCATGCTCTAAGCCAGTGTAAAGAACTTGCCTATAAGAAAAGAAGAATTACATAAAAAGTACCTTGGGTGGCTTAAAGGGATAATCTGGAGGAAAATGAATGGTCACTAGGAAAACAACCCCCCGCATATGGACTATCTGGTGGACCCATGATCGTTGCTTGCCAATGGAACATGTTTTCAGCAACAGGACCTGCAACATTGCCGAAAATCCAATAAGCAATATGCAAGTGTAAAAGTTCAATGATACTCCTTGAGGACCTCTACACAGCCAACTGCTAAAAAAATGAGTGCAAAGTGCGACCAAACAAGTAAGATCATCTTGCATAATATTAATCCCATCATGCAGACAAAATAAAACAGCATGCAACATGTAACCACATACAGAAAGGTTATGTTCAGCTACTTCAAGAGTCGGGTATAACAATAAAAAGTAAAAAAAAAATGTGGAATCTCTAGAAATGGTTGTCCCAATCCACCACACAACACACGTAACTTTGATCCACGTTCAATTTTTGAGCACTCCAAAAATTAAGACACCAGCAATTAACAGTCAAAACACAATCTGAGGGTCAGCTGACAGAAAGTACTCATCTGCATTCCTCAACCGATAAAAAGGCCTAAAAGGTGAAAGAAAACATCCACCATGGGAAAAATGAATCTTTACATTCATTCCACTATTCCAGCTACGGAAGCAAAAACTTCCAAACAGATAAATTCAGGCAAAAAAGAAATACTTCAATGAATAATATCATTGATGTCAACAGCCCAATATAAGTAACAGATACCTCTGTCAACATTAACTGAAATGTAAATGAAATATAGTTTAGGCATATCATATTCTATTACCAAATATGAAAAATGAGGACCACTTCCAGTTCTACACACAATTCATATAAGCTTCACCTGAATTTGTAATGTTTTATGTATGCTTTTACCTGAATTTATAATGTTTTATGTATGCTTTTAACGTTTTACAATTATATCGGTATTCTTTTATGCTTATATTTTGGTCTTCATAGAGAGACAATTCGTGAAACCAACAGCATCATGCAACAAAGAAACCAAGTCAGCTAGCTGTTTTTTCCATGTGTTGGCAGCAAAACTGTCAAAATTTTAAGGGTAAAATACACAAATGATGCCCCGACTATAGGGTGTTGCTTTTTTAAGTCCTTCGGCTATTAAAAGTTAAAAGACGATCCCTGAATATAGGACATCTTTGTTGAGAACCCTGACTGTTAAAAGTTACAAAATGGTCACTCAATTATTCATATGTTCCAAAGTCATCCTTTATCATTAGAAAATTGACGTTAGTCTGAGCTAGACGTTAAATTCCTAATTATGATATGATAAAATCTAATCCCAAAATCTCAAACGACTATAATATTACATATTCACAATCATTATGTTAACGTCTAACTCAGACAATCATCATTTTATTAACGAAAAAGGACAAATTTAGAACATATGAATAATCGGATGATCATTTTGTAACTTTTTCTAATCAAATGACTCAACAAAATAACACCCTATAATCAGAAGAACATTTTGTAAGTTTTAATAGTCAAAGACTCAACAAATGAGCGCTCTAAAGTCAGAGGACCATTTGTGTATTTTACCCTTAAAATTTTAATTCAACATGTTTAAATTATCTTAAATTAATTCAAACAAATTTATTCAATTAGACTATATCCATATTTTAATTCAAGTATTTTGATTCAAAAAATTCAAATGGAATTTGGCAGATAAAATAACACCCATCAACTAAGTTAATTTAATTTGCATTATAATATTATTTAATATATCAAATATAATTTAAAATTATAAAATATATTCATAATATTATATTTTAAAAAATATTTTGAAGGTAAAATATTGATGAGAGTATAAAAAAGTCAAAGAATTGATGAAAAGAAAGAATTTACAAACAATTGCAATCAAAGACCAAATTGAATAAAATGCAAAGTTAAGAGACTAAATAAAAAAGAGAGTACATTTTTAGTAAAAAGTAAGAATTGAAGTTATATAGCTATTCTATATTGATATATGAGCATGTGATTCAAATTTGACAAAAAACAAACTGAACATAAAAGATGAATTGAAGAAATAAGAAACTTATGAAAATGGAGGGACTAAATTAAAAAATAAAAAAATTATTATTAAAAAAAGAATTGAAAGTACATATATATTCTAAGATAGTTTAGAAGCATATAATTCAAATTTGATAAAAAATGAACTTAAAATGAAAAAAGAATTGAATGACTAATAAAATCAGGGACTAATCGTAAAACTAGGCTTGTAAACCAACCGAACATTCCACAAATTGTTCATGAACCGTTCGGCAAAAGGTTCATTTATGTTTGTTTATTTATTAAACGAACAAACATGAACAACATTTTATGTTCGCTTCATTAAATGAACGAACACGAAAAAAAAGAATTTGCTCGTTCATTTACGTTTGTGAACGTTCAGTAATCTGTTAGTTTATGCTCATTCATTCATGTTAGTTTTTGTTTGTTTATGTTCGTTTGTTTATATTCAATCAATCTTCAGACCCACTTGAAATATTAAGACCTAATAAATTTTAACCTTAAATCCATTAATATTTTAAAACCCAATTAGTTTTATACCCAAATAAAAAAAATACTCAAATCAATTAAAGAAAATATAAATCCTAAAATAATTTGAAAATAAAAAAATTGTTCTCAAATATATATACAATTAATTTTACGTCTATTCATTAATATTCATTTACGTTTGCTTTTGTTTGTTCATTTGTATTCGTTTATCATTTTAGCGAACGAACATAAACTAACACAAACAAGCTAAAGTTATTAATGAACGAACACAAACAAGAAATTTCATTCGTTTAGTTATTTGTGTTCATTCGTTTGTTCGGTTAAAGTTAAACGAACAAACATGAAGATCTCCTTATTCATGTTCGTTTACATGCCTACGTAAAACTTTCAAAATACTTAATCAAAATTTTATTTTTTTGAATAACTCAAAATTTCCAAATTTCAACTCGACTCGAATTTGAAAATCGAATCAATAATTTGAGTTGTCTTGAATAACTCAAAATTAAAAACAAAAATCAAATTTTCGAGTCGAGTCAAGTTTTGATATCTCATAAACAAAGATATGATAAAATCAAATCCAAAAATCTCAAACGAATATCATATCATAGTCATCATATTAACGTCTAACTTAAAAAACCATCATTTTTAACATAAAATGACAAATTTGGAACAGACGAATAGTCAGATGATCATTTTGTAACTTTTAATAATTAAGTGACTCAATGAAACAATACCTTATAGTTGAAAAAACATTTTGTAACTTTTAATAACCCAGGATTCAACAAAAGAACACCTTATAATCAATGAACCATTTGTGTAACCAAAGAACCATTGTACTTTTAAATTTTTAATTCAAAATATTTAAATTATCTTAAATTAATTCAAACAAGTTTGTTCAATTCGACTATATCCATATTTTATTCAAGTAATTTGATAAAAAAAAATTCAAATGGAATTTGGTTGATAAAATAACACCCAGGGAGTAAGTTAATGTTTTTTCACTTGCTTCGGTTCAACTTCATCGAATAACTTAACCTTCTCAAACAACACAGCTACATTAATCATCTAAGCTCGATTTGAATTTTTGCCGGGATGATAAAATATTTCAAACACAATTTTGACTGGGAAAATATATATAAAAAAAGACAGCTGCATGAATAAATAAATAAACAATGCATCAATTAAAGGTGAGAAACCGAAGAGATCGAACCAGAGAAAATGAATTGGATCCTCCCTTTTTGTTTTTTCCTTTGTAATGCCTGGAGGAAATTTGGGGAGGAAAGCTACGAACGAAGAAAGGTTGAAGAAACGAAAAAATAAAATAAAATTGCTAGGACAATTGTATGATTGGATGTGGGGGCGGTGCATTATATAGTGGTGGACCGGAATCTGTGATAGGGTAAATGTTATTGTCACTGACCACGAACTTGTGGGCAAGGTCAGCTTGCAACAACCCACCTGTGGGGCCGCAACCAGCACAAAACATGATGCTCTCATCGAGGTGCCGAGATCAACACCCACCACGGTGCGACAAACGCAACCCAAGCGGCCCACAAGGGCCACGCCGAGATCAAGGCTCACACAGAACCGGATAGGATCAAGTCATGACCGCCCCAAACTACCCACACGCACGACCATTGCACAACAAGGGTCGTCTAGGGTCATGACCAGCACACATCAAGTTGCGCCTAGGGCCAAGGCCAATGCACGACAAGGTCAGCCGAAGGCCCTAACCAGCAAGCAACGGGATGCACTCGGGGTTGGGGCCAATGCACACCGGGTGTGCGCCTAAAATCAGGACATAAGGGAGGCACTTGGGGGTGACGACAACGTATATCGATAGCACACAGGGTCGAGGCCTGTGCACAACGAGGGTGCACCGAGGGTCGAGGCCCGTACACACCGATAGTGCACCGAGGAATGAGGCCAGCACCGACAGAGGGTCTGTCCACCTAGCAAAGTCGGCCATCCCTTGGAAAACAAAGCCACAGTAGCATAGTCCTTGCTTGAATAGGACTCAAGCATTAGAGTTTCAACTAGGGGCAAAGTCCTTGTTTGGATAGGACTCAAGCATTAGAGTTTCAACTAAAGTAAAGAGTTTTACTTATAATTAGATTAAGAGTAGTCATGAGATGTAAAGGGAGTTCAATATAAAAGGAGGTTTCCCCACCTCGATTGAATATAGAGAATTTGGTGTGAATAAAATCAGGCATTGAGGCCAAAAACTTTTCCACCCACGCTTACTTACATTTTTCCATGTTTTTCCATTGTTCTTATGTTATAGCAACTACAACCGAGGAGATTAACTGCCTTAGATGTCGAGCAATCGAGCAAGACATCTAAGGGTCGTGCGGACCAATTAGTCGACAGTTTAGCCCTTGTCATTATTTTATAGTGGGTCCCATGCTATAGCGTTTTCTATACGAAAAGTAGCCTATTGTTCTAGAAAGCGGCCTCGGGGTAGACTAATAAATTGTCTAATTGTATCATTAATGTTTAATTATATTAAAATAATTACTGTTTAATTTATTTTAATGGTTACCATTAGCAGTAACGACATCCCGGACTGGGAGATTGTCCACTGTAGTCTCGTTGTTAATTCACTAGTTGATTAAAAGTTAAGAAACTGTTTGAGAATGTTT